TGGTGTGTGTGTCAATATGTAGCAAGTCGTCAATAGTCTAATTATATATATATATATATATATATATATATATATATAATATAGATCTAGAGAGAGAGATTGTTTATGTAAGATTTAATAATTTTGTGTTGGACTTTATATCCAATTTGTGTATTGGCATGTATATACAAGTGGGAAACAATGTTAGTTGTAATAATGTGATGGAACAACGCTGAAAAATTGTCTTACAAGACAACAACTGGTAAACAAAAAGGACTCGAGCGTGAGCTCGGCCTGACTCGACTTGCTAAGGACAAGTTTCCTTACAAAATTAGAGTTGTTCATATGAAATGAGTCGTTTATGAATTCGGCCTGACTCGATTTCTAAATGATGGATCCTTAATCCAAAATTCGGTTTGTATGTGGACATTACAAAAAAATGACGAAATTCTAACGGAAATATATTCAATAGTATTCCAACGACAATTCCTGGATATTTTAATACTATTAATGCCGTTGGAATTTTTTTAATGGATTCTACCGGAAATTCCAACAAAAATATTCCGTTGGAATGAGTTTTCCATTAGAATTTCTATTGGATTTTGACGATTCCAACCGTAGATTTTCTATCGGGGGTAAAAATAAAAATTCTAACCGAAATTGCATATTTCAACGGAAATTCCTACGGTAAAAAGCCGTTGGAAATATAGTCGTTGGAATCATCAAATTCCATCTAAAGTTCTAATATGAAAAACATTCCAACGGAAGCTACACCATTGGAACATCTGTTGAAATTTCCATGGGAATATATGGATTTTTTATTGGAATATAACAATTTTTATGTAGTGGGAAATGAGAATAGTTATTTGTATTGTGACAATTAATAAAAAAAAATTAAATAGAAGTAATCAATTAATTATGATTTAAGTTATTGAGTGTCAATAGGCTGTGAGTCTTTAATGTTTAGAGACTAATGGACCATCTCTGTTTCAACGATAGGTTAAAAATAAGAACATTTAATATAACTTAAGCATTAAAAGATTATGGTTTCTAGGTCATACATATCGTATATTCTTCTGCATCCCATTGACATAATGCTTACGGAGAAAGTTAAAGGGTTTTCCAAAATGTTAACATATATTTAGGTTTAGAAGGCCAAATCTCATCAACTGCCTATAAATTCAGGTACGATTCAGCTCGATTAAGACCATCGATTACACACTATGACGCTTTTGGATTGAAGCAATGATTTTCGTCCGAAGTTCATTTCAATATGTAAGTCTCAAACTCGACTCGTCTACAATTACTCGTGGACTTCCTTTTATTTTGTATTTTATAGTTCTTGCAATGGACGGGAACTTTTTATAATTACTCATGTTTGGCATACTGAACTTTTTTATAGTGGCGTTATAACTTTATGTTCATTATTATAATCAGTCATGTTGAATCTCGACTGTTTTGGTCTTTTAACTAATATAGTTATCATATCGTGGTTATTGTCACCATGGTTGAAAATCGTGTGAAGCATGTTAACCATGGCTGTTGGGAAGCATCAAGCATGGTTTGTAATTGTAAGGGTCTTTTTTACCATGTGCGCCGTACGGATTCGATGTCAACGTTTGTGGCTAACAGTGGAGCTAAAAATCGAAACTAACCGCTCGTCAACTCGACTAGCTAGCTCATTTGATAAACTAGTGTACGTAAATGTCTCGTTAATGCTCGAATATATAAATTTTTATGTAATTTCCTGTGGTTCGCTCGAGTTATGTTAGAGCTCATATATTGACTTTTTTATAAAACGAGTCGGGCTCGATAAAGCTGGCTTAAGTATGGGCTTAAGTATGAGGAACTCCGGAGCTCTGGTTATTAAAACGAACAATTGACTTTAATTAAGATAATAATTATGGATATGACACCTAGACCAATATATTATTTCATGCATATTGTATGCAATATCTATACTTATATAAAAAGTCATTATATTTACTAAAATTAGTAGTAAGAAAAGTCAAAGGTAATTAATGTATTCTATTTTCATCAATTATTTTATTTAATTATTTTATTTAATTGTTTTATCCCATAACACATTTTCAATACAACTTATCATAATTTTTCTATTGTGATTAAAAACCAGATTTTATATTTAAAATCTTGTGAAATTATTATTATTATTTTTATAAAGCACATATTATTTGTTAAAAAATTGTATATATATATATATATATATATATATAATACACATCACACTACCATGATAGCTGATTTGAATTTCAACTTAACAAAATGCCAATGATTTAAATTTGAACACATCTATGCGTTTGACCAAATGTCTGGTTGATTTAAAATTGAGCCCATAAAAAATTATTTAAATTTAAACACACCCGAAATTTTATGTACTTTTTATTTATAAATATATTGAAGTTGTATTTAATGACCGTTATATAAACTATTTTAATATATTTGCAATGAGTAAAAGTTTGAGTGAATAATTTATAAGGTTATTTATTAGGTTTGTGACTTATGAGACACGAATACATAATTCCATACATATTTGTCAGAAAGCGACTTAATATTTTCATAGATTTATTTTTATTATGTAATATAATAATAATTATATATTATATGGTGAACAAGAATAAGTAAAATTATTACTTTCTCTTATATCAAGGGATAAATTTATATGCTAAAATTAATTTTTATTAGTATAAATGTTTTAGTTATATAATACATTAATTTTTTTACAAGCTAGCCCTAACATGCTCATATTTAATGTTCTGGCTAAAATAACAACATTGGTTAAAAGATGTGGAAAAAAGTTTATAACCTTATTTTTTTTAACTTAACGTTGATTAAAAGATGTAGAAAATAAATAATAACCCTATTACTTTTTAGACTTAAACGAAAAAGGCTGTGAAAATAACTCATTTAATATCTATGTCTCGTGCATCGTACTTGATGTGGGATATTATACCCACAAGGCGGAACCGGTCTGTTGACTGGTCGAGGAGGTCATATTATGAGGAAGCCAAGGAAATCGAACAGTTAACTAGTCGACCAAGCAGGGCTGTCGACCACACTATCCTTCGACCAGATACGCAATCGAGCAATCCATTCGACCTAAGCAGGTCGATTACTTCGGGGATTTAACATCACGCTGTTCGACCTAGTCATAGGCGCGTGAAGGAAGCCTCTGACGGAATCCCAGGAGAATATTTACCCCATGTGCAGGAGGACACGTGTCGAGAAGGCAGTGGTGGACAGCGATAACCACCTCTGACAGCCTACCCCATGTGCAGGTGGACACGCGGCCAAAGAGGATTGGTGCAGGCGATAGTGGCGACGGCCGCCTCTGACACACGCGTTTGGTGTGTACGGACGGGCAGCTAGGGCAGACAGCTCACCAAATCCGGGCAGCCCTAGGTCAGGTATCTCACCCCTATATAAAGGGGGTGAGCCTTTCTTCTTCAACACGATCATTCCATTACTCTTGAGAATTGATTGAATATACACTGACTTAAGCATCGGAGGCTCTTCACCGGAAAACCCCCCCGGTGTGAGAGTTCTTTGTAGGTACACGACGTTCAACCGGCGAGAAGGAAGGCGATTACTCAAGTTCCAGCCGGTCGAGGAGTTTTGTGTTACCACATACTAATCTCAATTGGGCCAATAAATGGGCATTGGGCTGCCTCTAGTGGAACGGTTATTGTCTTATTTGGAGATAATCGGTCAATTATATTTCAATCGAACTCGAATAAGTCCAGTTGACGGTTATTGTCTTATTTGGAGATAATGTCATATTCGCATCCTACATGCCGGATATTGTCTTATTTCTCAAGAAACCTGTTTATTGAGAAATAAACGGGTTTCTTGTTCAAGAAACTCCTTTATTTCTCAAGAAATCCTTTTTTTGCTCAAGAAACCGTTTATTTCTCATTAAACCCATTTTTTGGTTAAAAAAAACGTGTTTCTGGAGAAATAAACGGGTTTTTTTTTTTAACAAAAAACGAGTTTTTTGAACAAAAAACGAGTTTTTTGAGAAATAAACGGGTTTCTTGATAAATAAACGGGTTTCATGTTCAAGAAACTCCTTTATTTCTCAAGAAATCCTTTTTTGCTCAAGAAACCCTTTTATTTCTCAAGAAACTCGTTTTTTGTTCAAGAAACCCGTTTATTTCTCTAGAAACACATTTTTTTGAACACAAAAACGGGTTTATTGAGAAATAAACGGGTTTCTTGAGCAAAAAAAGGATTTCTTGAGAAATAAAGGAGTTTCTTTAACAAGAAACCCGTTTATTTCTCAAGAAACCCGTTTATTTCTCAAGAAACTCGTTTTTTGTTCAAGAAACCCGTTGATTTCTCCAGTAACACGTTTTTTTGAACAAAAAAACGGGTTTATTGAGAAATAATCGGGTTTCTTGAGCAAAAAAAGGATTTCTTGAGAAATAAAGAAGTTTCTTGAATAAGAAACCCGTTTATTTCTCAAGAAACTCGTTTTTTTGTTCAAGAAACCTGTTTATTTCTCCAGAAACACGTTTTTTTAACCAAAAAACGGGTTTATTGAGAAATAAACGGGTTTCTTGAGCAAAAAAAGGATTTCTTGAGAAATAAAGGAGTTTCTTGAACAAGAAACTCGTTTATTTCTCAAGAAACTCGTTTATTTCTCAATAAACAGGTTTCTTGAGAAATAAGACAATATCCGACATGTAGGATGCGAATATGACATTATCTCCAAATAAGACAATAACCGTCAACTGGACTTATTCGAGTTCGATTGAAATATAATTGACCGAGATTGTACTAATTGGACTTCAATTGGAGTAATTCAAGTTCGATTACACTATAATTGACTGAGATTGTACTAACTGGACCTCGATTGGACTAAATCGAGTTCGATTAAAATATAATTGTCTGAGATTGTACTAATTTGACTTCAATTGGACTAATTCGAGATCGATTACACTATAATTGACCGAGATTGTACTAATTGGCCCTCAATTGGATGAATTGGAGTTCGATTAAAAACGGGTTTCTTGTTCAACAAACTCGTTTCTTGTTCAAGAAACTCGTTTCTTATTCAAGAAACTCGTTTTTTGTTCAAGAAACCTGTTTATTTTCGTTTTTTGTTCAAGAAACTCATTTTTTGCTCAAGAAACCCGTTTATTTCTCAAGAAACTCGTTTTATTAACAAGAAACTTGTTTATTTAACAAAAAAACGAGTTTCTTGAGAAATAAACGTCATGTAGGATCCGAATAAGACAATATCCGTCATGTAGGATGCGAATATGACATTATCTCCGAATAAGACAATAACCGTCAATTAATTATTTATTCCCAATCAATTTGACCGAGATTGTACTAATTGGACTTCAATTGGACTAATTCGAATTCGAATATAATATAATTGACCTAGATTGTACTAATTGGACTTCAATTGGACTTATTCGAGTTCGACATCACGGAGTTCTCGGCGTCTAACATGCGTCATATTTACGTGCATTTTATAGTGATTTTCGTGTCCGTTTCGTCGTATTTTGATATATAATTAGTTATTGTTTAATTAATTATTGTATAATTAATTATTTATTTAATTAATTTTATTAAGCTATGACGAGGTGTTTTATTTTAAGTTTTAACAGGAAATAGGGCTGAAATAATTTTTGAGTCGAAAGCGATAAGAATGGATCGATTATGATGTGCGAGCGGTGTATTGAGACGGATCCAATTGCAAGGCCTTATTTAGGAGAAGGAAATCAGCCCTTAAAGTCCACTAGAGGCAGCCCAATGCCCATTTATTGGTTCAATTGAGATTAGTATGTAATGGGTTGGCCCAAAAGCATCTAAGTGGGGGGTATAAGGGTAATTTTAGAAGTGTGGCATCTTCTTCCTCATATTTCACGTACATCCGCCATTGACAAGCAGCAGAGCTCCGTCCATGTTGAACCACGACCACCGCACGCCACACGAAGAGCCCAGCTGGACGTCGATGCCATCCCGTCACCGGAGAATCATCCTGGAGTCGGAAACCGCGCCTGAAAAGCTTACGTCAGAAATTACGAAGTTGGCCAGAATCTCGACGGAGCTCCATCTCCGACCACCTGGACGTCAATGGACTGTTGGGAACCTTACTGGGATGTCGGAGAGCAGTACAGAACACGATAGAGGATACGAGCGACCGGAAGTGCTGTTACTCGTCACTTCTGGGAAGGTGGAAGAAGGGAAGGTGGAAGAAGGTGGCCGGAAAATGGACGGCGATTAATCTGGAGAAGCTAGACGATGGAATTTGGGGGCGAGGGTTTATATTTTCTCAGATCTAAAGAATGAAAAGACAATTCCCAGATATGATAAATGTTGAGGTTTTGATGAAATAGTTTCGTATATGAAGGATTGTTGTAGAAATAATTTATATGTAAGGACTTAAAGATAAATAGAATTATAAATTTATAATTTATTTTAATTTTTAATTACATAAGGGTATTATAGGTTTTTTGCAAGTACAAGAGGGTACGAGGTTGGTACAAGGGTGGTACGAGACAAAATAGAATTTTGGTTACCTCGTACCAACCTCGTACCTTTATCTAATGGTTCATATTGATTTTAAGTCAATCTAAGGGTGATATAAAGAAGGTACTTAATGTTAGGTAGGTACGAAGGGTACCTGACAATAGACGGTCCCTACAAAATTTTGTTACGAATATTATTCTTAATCACAGCTCAATTTTATTATTCTTTATTTTGTACAATAATAAACCGAACATTAATATTAATGTGATGACAATTTTCCGAGGTCGCGCTCCCTAACAAACGTGCCATGGAAACCATACGGGACCCTTTGGGGCAACTTAACGGCGGCCACAACGTCGAAATTGGCTGACTTGGCATCCATCACCAAAAACCGTGACTCGTTTATTGTCTCGTCGTGTACAAACATCACGAGATACCCATCATCTTCCTTAGCCGTGGGATTATCAGGTTCCTTGGGGACGAAAAACGGTTCGCCACCATAACATTTCGGCCCGTATAGCCGGATAATTCCAACGACACACTCGCCCGAGTCCAGCATGGAAAGTGATAGGTCAAGTTTCACAATCCCTGTCATCTTTAGCCCTGATGATTGGGATGCTATTCCTGCATACACATATATGTACATGTGGAAAATATCATTTATTTTATTTTCTTTTCTCCAACAAAAGAAAATATATTAATTATAACAGTAATAATTTTCCAATGAAAAGGAACTTGTATTTTGTGACATCCATATTTTTTACCAATCTAACAACACACAAAAATTAGTTGAAATTGAAAAATTATTATTTATATTTATTATTAGATGATTAGCATTATTTTTAAATATAAGTGGCGGCGTACCTCGTCTTCTTCCCCACGCACGCCGGATTTATCACCGCAAACTCAAGATTTCTGGTTGAAATCGGCCGCCGCCTCACAATCTTGGTCCTCACATCTATCTGTTACACAATGTAGTGTTTGAATTACACCGGGAACCTATGAACTAACTGAAGTGTTCAGTTCGTACAAGATGAACTAAAACAAAATAAAAAATTACAACTCAAATGCGGACAGATTGAAAGCCGAGGTGATTGAAATCTTTCCGCAAAACAAATACGCCCCGTATAGTGCTGACGAGTCTGTGCGTAATGTCCCCAAAAATACAACGGCAATACACTCGGAAGCTGTAGCACACCAGACTTCAGAGTTCCAGCGAACGGATTCGAAGACGAGAACTGAGCACTATGATATGATGCGTGAGGCTTTGAGAGTATTCAGATTGCATGAAAATGTTGTGTACTTTCGTATCTCATTCAATCTCTACACTGTCCTATTTATAGGACTTCCACCTAGGTGGGAGATGGCTCTTCATTTTGTAACCACTAAGCCATTAAAGGCCATTCATGGCTAGTTTTGATGACTAATCAAAACTTGTAACCACCAAAGCTATTAACAACAATTCATGGCTCCATTAACAACCATTCATGGCTTGTAACCACCAAGCCAATAACATCCATTCATGACTTGGTTTTAATTGCAAAACGTTTCAGGTTTTAACTCACCATTAATTCACCTCATAACTCTTGAAACTGCTATGTGGTTGAAAGGTCACACGTCCAGGTTCAATGTACCTGGAACGATGTCACACGGGTTGTGTCGAAACCCAAGTCCAAAACCAACTCGGTTTATATACCAATTAATATATGGTAGATAACTTTGTTATTGTTGTGACCTCTCCAACTCTCTTTATCATAATAAAAAGAGTTAATCTCATTCAAGAGTTCTCTGTGGGATAAGACTTTTAACCATTCGAATCCCACAACCAACGTTCTGCGTGCCCATTTAAGGCTAACATTTATTTCTCACTCACCGAAAATCAGTATTGAGAAATCAAATATACTACGAGTTTCTACTCGGAACGTAGAATTTATTCTACACAATTTAATTCAATCCGAATTAAATATTTAGCCATCAACAAATCAGTCAAAATCAGGTCATACCCAATTTTATATTACTGATTTTCCAACACTATCTTTACTCTCTCCATCGACGAGTGCACCAAATGCATCCCTTCCATCACGTTCTCCACCCCTAACATGTTCGGAGCCACCACCACCACCACCGTCCCTTCGCCACTCTCCTCCTCCCACGCATTTACCGCATGCATCATATTAAACCCCGACACCTCCACCCACCACACCCCTCCCTCGTCCCCCTCTGCGGCCGCCGCCCGTCTCGGCACAAACCCTAACCTCGGCACCTTCCCCCGATCCACTGTCACCGGCTGCCGCCCTCTCACTATCTCCTCCGGCCGTATTACGATTTGCGTGTCCGGAAAAATCGCGTAATTCTCCGTCACCGCGAAATCGTGCACGAGCGACGCGTCATTCTTGGTCCACACCCTCACCTCAGGCGCCCATTTCTCCCCGTCAGCCCCGATCGTGAAATACGTCAAGAATGGCCGCCGGAGATTATGCCGGTAAGCAAACACCTCGCCGGATTCTGGGTCGACCTTCGGGTGGGCCGTCATCGACTCCAACGGCCCTCCGTACTTTTCCTCCCGGCCGATCGTCACCACATCTCCCTCGGCCGTCACGGCCACCCGGTAGGGAAGGTCCTGACTCCCCGAGCGCGAACAACCCGCCGCCGAACTGCGAGACGCTGGTGTTCGCGTTCCCCGTGCCTCGCCGGAGGTCGTACTGGCCAGAGACGAGCCGGCCGGCGGCCACCGCGTATCGGACCAGCGTGGCGGCAAGGCTCGTGTACGCAGAGAAGTAGTTCACGACGACCGAAGAACCGACTGTTTGCTCGACCGAGCGCTTGTACGTACCGACGAAGCGGCTGGCGAGGGTGGCGCAGCCGCCGGAGATCCGGACGCAGTGGAGCATGCCGTCGCCGTCGAACAAGTGGTGCGGTCCGCGGGGCGAGAACTGCGGGTTCGGGCCGTTGCGGATGTAGGCCCCTTCGAGGGCCAGGGGGATGGAGCCCTCCGCCACGTGGCAAGGGGTTGGGGGGAGCTCGGGAACTGGGGCGAAGTTACCGGAGAGGACCAAGTGCGGGTCGATGTTGGGGGGGAGCGTGGGTGGGTCGATGTGCCGACAAATGAGGTCATCGAGCGAGGTGAAGAAATCGGCGAGTAGTTTGGATGCGGCCGACTGGATTTTTTTACCGACGGTAATCTTTTGGGGAAATTCTGAATCTTTTACTGTGGAAGATATACATTTTATAGACAGGCTAACAATGGTTGGAAGGGTATTGCTATTGGGATGTAACCAAATTGGGGTCACAAAGGAATTAGAAAGAATGTTCATATTTTTTGTTTTCTTCTTTGTTGTGTAGTTTAGGAGTATGGTTTTTAATTAGGTCTTCCCATCTCCAATTAATATATTATGTTGCTGGGTAGATACGAAGAATGCTATAGTCCCGTTATGGAATTATTCCGTTAAGTTTATAACTGTTAGATCATCATGTAACCGTAGGAGATAGTTGATCTAACGGTTATAACTTGAATTGATCATGTGGATCAGCCTTTATTTAATTATTGTTTATTTTTTTATGCCCAACAATTAATTAATTAGGACCTTCTCATAAATAATATAAAGTGCCCGGCTTTGACTGGAATTTATACATGTAATTTGAAATTGATGGTAGCAATTCACAAGTATTATAATAAATATTAGAACAGTTTGATGAGAGAATGCAACCTTTTAAAATTGGAATTTTAGGCTACTAGGAAAAGTAATATGGTAAGACTAACTGGATACAGCTGACTTTTTTTTTGTTAAATTAATTAAGTGGAAAGTACAGATTTTTGACCAAATTATGTGCACCAACAGTTTTGGTATGGAACAATCAGATGGTTCGGCTTATGAAGTCATTCATAATTATCCACAAGTAGTACATTGACACATATTTTTGCAATAAATAAATATTAGACACGTGTCAATACATAAAATTATGGTCCGAGCAAGTTTCTTTGTGTGGTGTGTTAGTTTGTTTAAGGAGAATGTTGAGAAGAGGGTTTGCAATGGAGAAGTGTTGTGATTTGTTTGGCCTTTTATGGTCTTTTTGCTGATTAGATAAATACATTAGTGATACATAATCAATTAGTGTTTGGTAAATATGTATACTTTCAAATTGAAACATTATGCTCTAAAAAACTCTATAAATAAAATTATGGTAATAAATAAATATTTTCATTACAAAAATATGATGGATGGACCCGACCATCCATGTTTATTTTAAAGCCCAACTTAGGAATGGGCCTTACCAGTTTCACTTGATCAGTAAGCCCATTTCTAAAATATCTAAAAAGGGATTGTTTTAAGTAAGCACCTGACCTGAACATGATTTGATTGATTTCTTTTGATCGTGTACTCATTTGTTTTTTAGCATATTTTTTTGGTACAAAGAAGGGTCCGAAGGACAAAGGTAGAACTCGGCGGGGGTATGAAACTCCGATGTTGTCATGCGTGAGCCATTCGCTAAGGCTCGGAGGTGGTAACGGAAGACGATGCAGCCCGATCGGATAGTTGCCTGCTAAACTCGCCAGGTGATCCGCCGCATAATTGGCCTCTCTATGAGCATGTTGAAGTCGCACTGTCCAGTTACGCTGCACTAGGTCTCGTATGGCTTTAACCATTGCCTCATGATTTCCAAAGTGACCATTTTCATTTCTCACCATACGCAGAACGCATTGGCTATCAACTTCGACCATAATATGACGATAACCCGAATCCCAAGCTAATAAAAGCCCTTGAAACAGTCCCCAAAGTTCAGCACCCGTTATGGTACACGAACCAATAGTCATAATGAAACCCGTACACCATTGTCCATATTCGTCACGAATCAGGCCGCCAGCACTACTTAAGCCAGTGCGGTTGTCGTAGGCCCCGTCTGTGTTCAATTTCAGCCATCCCTGGTCTGGGGGAATCCATCTAATGAGCCGAGAAACATAGTTACTAACCCCAACCTTTCGATAGTCTGCTCGGACGTAAGAAGCCATCATGCGCTTGATCTCCAAGTATCGGGCCTCACAACGTGTGCTATTAAACAAGTGTGCTACGTCAAAGTCGCTATTGATTAGCTTTATGATTTAAATTTTAATAGCTAATTTTGAAATAGATCAATATATGAGCGTTTTTGGATAGAGATGAAAAAATAACTCACAACGTAACATTTCAAAATAATAATACAAACTACTATTTAGCAACACTCATATAAAGGGAGATGCTATAGTCCCGTTACGTAACCATTTCGTCTAGATTTGTAACCGTTAGATCATCATGTAATCGCTGGGGATAGTTGATCTAACGGTTACAAACTCGACGGAATGGTTCCGTAACGGGACCGTAGCATTTCCACAAAAGATCGTTACTCAAAAAAATTATTACAATCTGCTATCATTGCTAGTAACTGGTACAATCTGTCATCTACTCTCAACTCTTTTCTATTTATAGTAATTCGATATGAGCATCGTTTCTACAAATTAATTTAATTTACACAAGTTATATTCTATATGTAACGAGACACACACTACATAAAATATAATTGAACAAAAAAAATATAATTTAATTATTTATTTTGACTTTCATGAGATCATTCTCAGGCACAAAGACACCGTGGAAGCCGTTGGGAACTCGTTGTGGCAGCCTGACGGCGGCGACAATGTCAAGGGTCGGCGATTTTGCGTCCATCACCAAAAATTTGGATTCCTTAATATTCTCATCATGCATATACGTCACTAAATACCCGTCATCCTCCTCAGCCGCCGGGTTATCGGGCTCCCTAGCCACGAAAAAAGGTTCGCTTCCGTAGCAGCCTGGCCCGTATTGTCGGCTGGCCACCGTGCAGTCTTCGCACTTCTCATCGTCCATGAGCGACAAGTCGAGCTTCACTACCCCGACCACGGCTGTCGACCCGATTTCCCCCGCGTATACGTATCTGAAAACGATTCGTATGGCTTCGATTTTAGTAACTTATGATATCTCCACACTCTGATAATGCTAGTTTTAAGGACATAAATTTTGATATCTCCACACTCTTGATTAAATTTCACCTGTTCTTCTTGGTTTCGTAAGCTGGATTGACGACCGCGAGGTCGAGAAACCGAGTCGACATGGTGCGCCTCGTCACTTGCCCGGTCTCGATGTCTACCGTCACCTTCTCGAGCTTTAGCCCGGCCCGCGCAATGTCGTCTAAGATGTGCTCGACCTGCGTGATGTTCGTGGCCACCATCTCGACAATCCCCCGACCGCCTTCCTCCTCCCACGCGTTCGCGAAATGGAGCGGGTTGAAACCGGGCGAGTCGACCCACACCATGTCCCGGTCGTCCTCTGCATACTTCCCGATGATCCCTAGCCGAGGCGACTTTCCTGGGACAACCCTCACCGGCGGCCGGCCTCCGAGAACCCACCAAGGGTTGACCGCAATCTGCGTCTCAACGAGTACCGCGTGGGACCCGGTGAGCGCGAAGTCGTGCGCGATCGTGCAACCACGCGCGGACCCTATCGGCACGCCCTTTCGTTTCTTCTCCCCACCTTCTATGCGGTAGAACGTAAGGAACGGGCGCGCGAAGTCGTACCGGTACGCGAACACGTCGCCCGTCTCCCGATCCACCTTCGGGTGGGCCGTCATGTTTTGGAATGGCTCGTCGTCCTCGTTTCCAAAATTGTATCGGCCGAGGGTTTTCACGTCCCCGTCCTCCGTGACTCCGACCTCGTACGGGAGGTCGGACTCGCACATGGCGAAGAGTCGGCCACCTAAGAGGGCCACGTTCGTGTTGGCCGGCCCGAACCCGTGGTTCTTCGGGTCAAACTGGCCCGAGAGAACCCGGGCGGTTAGCACAGTCAGACGGGCAACGGCCGCCAGGAGGCGGCCTCTGCAGAGCCCGAAGAAGTTGGGGACGACAGGCCGACCCGCCCGACGCTCGACGTCGTGCTTGTGGGTGTGGACGTAGCGGCTGCAGAAGGTGGCTCGACCCGCCGAGATACGGGTCGAGTGGAGCATCCCATCGCCGTCGAGGACATAGTAAGGGCTCGTGGGTAAGAACTGAGGGTTTGGGCCCGTGCGGATGTAGAGCCCGTCGAGGCACGGGGGGAGGGGCCCACCGGTGGTCGTGGGGCACTGAGTGGGGGGGAGCTCGTCCACAGGAGCGTCGTTCTCGGAAAGCACGAGGGTCGGGTTGATGGAAGGGGAGATTTGTCGGTCGAGGAACTTGGATATGGAGTCGTCGAGGGAGTCGAGGAGTGTTGGATTCTTGAGGTTGAGCTTCTTCATTGGCTCCATAAGGGTTGTGGTGAATTGGAAGATTGATGATTGGATGATGGGAGCTTTATGATGATGATGATTGTGATTCTTGGTTTTCATCCTCATATGATTGCTATTGTGAATCTTGAATTTTGGTGTGAAATTGGAGCAAGGTATTGATAAGGTTTCCATTCTTTTTGTTACTTCAAAAGAGGGAAGATTCTTATGGATTTTAAAGGGTGCATTTCAACGTATTCGACTAGAATACATTGATCGTGATATAGTGTGTGTTGATCAAACGGTAAAAAAAGTCTGCACGTTTTGCAGTAGTCTGCAGTTCAATCATATCATCATCATCAGGGCCATTGATTGAAACTTATTATGTCAAGCGCAGCCCCACTAAAGAGTCTTTTACCAAAGTTTTTGGTCACTTGGGACAATCATGTTTGTTTGCATGAACGTGGATTTCGTTCTAAACGTGGTAGGGATAGGAACATTGGGGAAGATGACTTTGAATTGTTTTGTGTTTGAGTTATTTTGTTGTCTCTAAAATGAAATGTAAATGAGCTAATATATGATCCAAAATTTTTACCAGTGAGTAACATTATCAAAGATGATGTGGGCTTCTTATTACTACTTTTTATAATTGTTGTAAGCAGTAAATACAACGTTAAAAATTTGTCAATTGTAAACGATATAAACGCCATAACGTACGACATAAGCTTTCATGATCATCTATTCATCTTCATGTGGTACTTAATCTTAAGTTCAAATTTGTGTGAATTTGGAGGTAATGAAGTTGATAAGGTGTATGTGGTTAATTAGTCTTGCGTTTTAATAATCTCTAGCTAACTATGTGAATGGGACTGTTGTCGGATCGAATAATATTATATGAAAATTAAAACTCGAATACGAACAAAACTCAATTTCTTACATGAAATGGTAACATATATCTTGAAAACACGACACCATTTAATAAGACTATATCTGATAGACAACATAATTTTAACTTTTTTAGTTAGCTTATAAGATTTTGTATTTAAATATGTTTTGTTTGGTAAGACGGTTTTTTTTACAGAAAGCTCGAGCTTAGTTCATAATCTTCTTTGAGTAGTTTTTCAAATAAGCTCGTTGGAATTTTTATTTTAACTAGTTTATTAGCTAACTTTACCAAACATTTTTATCATATATATAAACTAAATTCTCAGCTATAAGCTATGATAAGCTCGAAAATTATTGATAAGTTATAAACTAGTTTACAAGCTAGTTTTAACAAACATAGTCTAATTTAAATTGTCAAACTTTAGCAATCCTAAAGGCCTATGCCTTGATTAAGAAATATCTCAAGACAAAATATTGAATGCATGTGTTTTTACACTTTGTAGCATTTTTATTCGGTAAAATGCAACAAAAACTTTTTCAACATTCTTAATTTACAATACTTGTACATCTTGCCATTTTCGGTCGACACCGCCCGCCACACGTGGCAACAAGGCACAAAAGCCACGTGTTGGTATATGAGGCTGGCGGTGACCGAAAATAGTTAAGTGTACAAAAAATCAAAGTTAGGTAGGCAAAGTGTAAAAAAAAAAATTATAGACAAAGTGTAAATTTCCAGATAGTTAGGTAGGCAAAGTGTAATTTTTCATAAAATCATAGTTTTTAAACCCGGCCCGGTAATCGACTCAGGAAGGTCCCTGTGTCACCGGGTCAATTGCTGAACCGAATAATTAATTATAAAATTTTTAAAATTATATATATACAATATTTTGTCATATAAATATACATAAAGTAACAAAATTAAATGTTTTGTATGTAAAATTTGTAGATTAGAGTGGTAATAGTATGTATTTCATGATAAATATTTATCATATAAATATACATATATACATAGTTTTATTTATTAAAATATAT